ACGTCTTTCCCTGCCACACACATGCAGCAGCTTTTTAAAATTCTCCTTGATGTTGACAATTAAGTATTTTGAGCAATCTGGAGCTGAATTTGGAAGTCATCAGACATAATAGCTAGGTTATTACCACAGGTTACCAGTGTGGGCTCATTAGCAATGATCTTTTCTTTTCACCTGGCCACAACATAATGAGGTTATTAATTAGAGCAAGAGGCATAAGTGTTCTTGGTATTAAGTTTCCCTTAATACCATCTGGAGAAAGAGTCAGGCCCTTTGTGATAGTTCCTTATAATAGATCTAGGGTGATAGATACATCTATATCTTTACAAAAGACATTTTCCTTCACTAAAAACTTGTTCTCTTTAATTTTTAGGTCCCCATATTACTATTCTGTTGCTGTGCTAAAACACCACAATCAAAAGTGACTTGTAGAAATACTTTTCTGACTTATTGTTCCAGAGTATCAGAGTCCATTATATGAGGAAGGCGTGGCAGTAGGCAGGCATGGCGACCAGAACAAGAAGCTGAAGGCTCACGTCCTCAGCTGGAAAGCATTAAGCAGAGAGATAAAACTGGAAGTGATGTGAGGCTTTAAACTCTCAAAGCCCAACCCCATTGACAGACCACCTTTAGCAAGTCTATACCTCCTAAACCTCCCCAAACAGTGTTACCAACTGGGACCAAGATTTCAAATATCTGAGCCTATGAAGGAAGTCTTATTAAAAGCATTATAATCCTTACAATCTCAGACAATAATGTGGCTTCATGAAGCCTCCGAGAGAGGCAACAGAGTGTAAATGGTCAGATGCACAGTCCCTCGAGAACATTGCCTGGGGTTAAATCCTGAACTTTGCTACCCATTGTGTGGCATCCTGCATATATCCAACCTTTCTCTTCCTCAACTTCCTTACTTGGACAAGGGTTATGTAGATTTATATGTGTGAAATGCTTAGACTAAAACCTTGCACATAGTGAGCGCTGAATATATGTGAACAGTTATGTTGACTCGTTGGACCCAAAGAACAGCTTTTGGCTGTTCCTGTGAATAAGGCCTTTTAGTATTATTCCTTTTTTGTTTGTTTTTGCTTTTTAATTTATTTTTCACATGCCAGTCCTAGTTCCCCTCCCTTCTCTCCTCTTGCTCCCCCACTTCATCCCCCACCTCCCATCTGCTCTCAGAGAGGGTAAGGCCTCCCCTAGGAAGTCTACTAAGTCTGTCCCATCATCTTGTTGAGGCAGGACCAAGGAACCTCTCCACCCCCCACACCCCTGTGTCTAGGTTGAGCAAGGTATCTCTCCATATAGATTGGGCTCCACTTAGTCAGTTTATGCATTCGTGTTAGATCTTGGACCCACTGCCAGTGGCCCCATGTATTGTCCCAGCCACACCATTGTCACCTATATCAAGGGAATCTAATCCCGTCTTATGCAGGTTCCCCATTTGTCACACTGGAGTCAGTGCTCTCTCACTAGCTCAGGTCAGCTGATTTTGTGGGTTTCCCCATCATGGTCTTGACTCCTCCCTCACTTCGACTGTATGCCAGGAGCTTGGCCCAGTGTTTAGTTGTGGATTTCTATGTCTGATTCCAGGTATTATCCATTTTAAACGATGACATTATCATCAAAATTCATAGGCTGACAAGAAGAACAGTGCTAGGTATAGAATATACCTCCTCTTGGTCAGGGGCATCCAATGCCCCCCACAAACAATACAGACAATTGCTGTTGCTCTTAGTCTCCCACCTAGGCTCAGTTTAAGAACCCACTGCTGAAGACACTACACAGTTTGTTCATGGAACAAGAGCAATCAAGCTGATACCAACCTAGAAATCCCTGCTGAATATCTTTCATCATGCTAGAGGTGCTATACAGGCTATTGAGGGAGAGAGAAAAGTCATCAAAAATCTTACCATGAGCTTCAGTAACAACTGCTCATAAGATGTGCCCATTGATGCAATGGTCACATGAATGCTATGTTGTTGACCAAATGGCTGGAAAGATCATATACCTTAGGTGAAACCTTACTTCTGTTATTCTTCTCAGAGTGTGTGACTGCTGAGTGCCCAGGTTCAAATGGGACATCTTTACATCACCCTTCCCTAAGGTGAACATGATAGAAAAGCAGGTAGAAAGATTTTAAGAGTGGCACTGCTGTGAAAATGTGTCTGGACACGACAGAGCCATTGAACTCATGAACTCTCTGTGACTGCCCACACAAGATCAAGCCAATCACATTACAGTATGGCTGGGGGAGGGATTCATGAGGATCATACGCAGATGAGAGCTATTGGCAGTTGATGGCTGCTAAGGGAAAAACAGGTTTTGTTTGTTTTGTTTTGTTTTGTTTTCAGGAGTGTGGCCCATGGTTGACTGTCCGTGCTCCAGTTACTGTCCTATTTACACATGTGTCTGGGCAGCTCTAATTAGATGCAGTGGGTTACAACTTTTTTTTTTTAGTGAAGAGGATATGAGGTTGAAAGGGGATGTATGTTAGGGTTCTGGGAGAGTTTAGAGGCAGTGAATATGATCAAAATACTTTGTGTACATGTATAGCATTCTTTTCTAAATTTTATTTTATTATTTTAAATTATGAGCATGTGTATGAATCTGTGGCATTGGATCCCTGAAGCTGGAGTTACAGGTGGTTGTAAGTCGCCTGATGTAGACTCTGGGAATCAAACTTGGGTCCTCTGCTAAAGCAATAACACTCTAAGCACTAAACCATATATGGCATTATTAAAGCATGGATAAATAAAGTTAAATTTTTAAAATATTGTAGTTTGAAATCCAACCTACAGTACCTCAAAATGTGATCTTACATGGAGAGAGAACCTCTAAAGAGGTCCCCAATCAAAAACAAGATCATTAGAGTGAGAAACTACAAAAAAGAACTTTAGATATAGGGACAAACATTGAGAAGATGATGAGAAGAAGTTCAGGAAGAAAATGATTCTCTTCAAGCCAAAAAAGGGGGTCTAGAGTAGACCTCCCCCTTACAAGCCTTCAAAAGATACCATCCATACCAGGACCTTGAGTTTGAACTTCCAGACCAGAACTATAGAGTAAGTTGCCGTCATTTAAGGCCCCCAGTAGTGGGTCTTCATTACAACATTCTAGGGATCTGATAGACGTAATTACAACAATATGTCTCTATCTCCAGGGAGCATACAGTATGACCAGAGACAGGTGTTATTTCACAGAACTCTGATTTGAAAGCAATAAAATTCCACTAATTCCTTCAGAAGACAAGGAAGCCCAAAAATACACCCCAAAATTCAGACAGGAACATCAGGAGGGTTCTCCATGTCTGACTTCTGTTCCTCTCTCCTTCTCTTGGTGACTATGATAAATCTTTCCTTCCTCCTCTCCTCATCCTCCCCGCCCCCTTCCTCCTGTCTTTCAGCTTCCTACATTCTCGTTTTCCATGCTTTTCTAATGCAGCTAGCAATAAATATGATCCCAAGTAGCACCAGGCTTGTGCCTGAAAGTAAAAGCCACCTATGCGCTGGGATGTAGCTCGGTTGGCAGAGTGCTTGCCTCGCATGCACAAAGCACTCAGTTCCATCTGCAGCACTAAGTAAATCCACCGTGGTGCATATCAGTAATCTCAGCACTTAGGAGGTGGAGACAGGAAGAGCAGAAGCTCAGTGTCATGTAGCAAGTTTGAGGCCAGCCTGCATTTATTGTATACAACCATAAGTCAAGAAACAAAACAAAGAACAAAGAGATACAAACCCCTAGAAACAAACTTCATGTCTTGTGTCTTAGTTGGGATTTTCTACTGCTGTGAAGATACACCATGTATTAGTATTTAGGCATCTGTACTGGCCTGTCCTTGGGGTTCTGACAGGATACACCCTCAGCTGCTGCCACTAAGAGCAACACCTGTGCACATTCACTATGTTCCCCTTTAAAGGGGCCTGATCACCTCCCATCCTTCTCTCCCTCTTTCTTTCTCTCCCTCTCTGTTCCTCTCTCTCTCTCTCTCTCTCTCTCTCTCTCTCTCTCTCCACACACACACCTACCTACTTACCTTCTGCCTCTCTTTCCTGTCTCCCACTGCTCCTGTCCCCAGAGGCTGGCCTCCCCACTCCCCTTCTCATTTACACCACCATGACCATGGCAACTCTTACAAAGGAAAAACATTTAATTCGGGGTGGCTTACACCATTAAGGATAAGAGGATTAGTCCATTATCATCATGATGCACCATGGTGGCGTGAAGGTAGACATGGTGCTGGAGACTGAGCCGAGATTCCTAAATCTTGATGTGTAGGCAACAGGAAATGGTCTGTCTCACTGGGCGTGGCTTAAGCATGTATGAGACCTGATTTTAAAACCCACCTCCACAGTAACGCACTTCCTCCAACAAAGCCACACTTCCTAAAAAGTGCCACTCCCACTAGGGGCCATTTTCTTTCAAACCACCACATCTTGCTCTGTAGTTTTTACTTCTCAGCTAGGAGTCTGTCATTTCCTCACCTTGTGTCAGATACCTGCCCATCAACTGTGACCAAAATGACACAGACAGTGATTCCACTGTAGCTACATATATGGAATGAGGAAGAGGCTATTACTAAGAAAGAGATATTGGGCAGATAATTTGAGCTAATTGTTACCAGAGCCAAGTAATTAGAGGCATGGGGCTGACAACCTGCACAACACAAGGCTGACAGCTCTAGGGAAATCACCCGGTTAAAAATGGCATCTTCTAGTCAGAGCCAGAGTGGCCTCTTCTGCTTCTAAGGAGGCAGAAAAGAGTTGTGGTTATAGCAGTGGGGCCTTGCATCCGAGACTCATGGGCTCTAATCTGGCCTCTCCATCGTGTGAGCCTGAGCATGTCACCTGCTCTCTGCTTCCTTTAGAAAAAGGAGGTGATTCCATTGCTAAGTTTGAGACGAGGCCTAAATGTACACTGCATAATAGTAGAAGTATAGAGTAAACACAACATCCTACCCTGGTGGTGTTTGATGCCTCCTTTGTTTGTTTTACTTTCTCCTCCAGGCTGAGTTCTCTGAGCTGAACCTGGCTGCTTATGTTACCGGAGGCTGCATGGTAGACATGCAAGTTGTGAGAAATGGCACCAAAATTGTGAGGTAAGCAGACCTGAGATACAGAAGCCATCTGAAATTTCACAGAGACGCCTCTCACCCCTGCCTGCCTGCTGCATGTGGCCACTTTCAGGTGCTACATGAACATCCCTGTGCCAAATGACTCCCACAGAGTCCCAGAAATAAGTAATGACACAAACATATAGAAAGCAACTGTGATGTCCAGGAGGAAGGCTTGGGGCAAAAGGTGTGGGTCTGGTTGTGGAATTCCTGTTACTTTCTGTTTCTTAAATGTTTGTGTCAAGAGCAGCCCTGCAGCCAGAACCTGCCAGTCTTCATGAACTGGTACATGTGAGAGCAGCCTATCCAGTGTAAAGGGTTAGCAGAAAGAACAAAATCCAGCACAGTGACACAGCAGACTAAGCATTCAGAGTGAAGCCCTGGTTATCAAATTTCCCAGAAAGCTGTGTAGGATGTGTACAGAGCTGGAAAGGAAGTGAGGGGATTCTTTGGAAGGCAGAAATGACAAATACATGTTCACAGAAGAGATAAGAATCACATAACGGCAGCCCTGTGTGGCTAGGCTCTGGGAAAGAGATGCTCAGACCTGGACAAAAAGGAAAAGCAAAGATTTGGGAGAAAGGTAGCATATGTTTAGCATCTTGTCAAACAATAGGTCAGGGATATTCCTGGGATAGGGAGAGGGTTTGAGAATTGTGCAAGTTAAAACAGCCTTGCAGGTAAATACAAGCAAGCAATGAAGCATAGTTGGGGGAGATGGAATGATTAGCTAATATCATCATCATTCACTGCATGCTTCCTTAGTGCAGGGAAGACAGTGTTTGCTTTCCTATTTCCAGTAGGCCAGATCACCACTAAAGACCAGTTTCCAATAATCTAATGTTTAGAAGTCTTCAAAGAGTCGACATGACAGTGGGGTTATCAGAGAGAGAATAACCGGGCAATGGAAGCTCAGAAACATGAGTAAAAATTCCTACATTTGAATATGAAATGCATCCCCAGGCTCATTTGGTTGAATGCTATTTTAGGAGTTAGCAGAATCTTTAGGATGTGGGGCCAAGCTGGAGGAAATAGGTCACTGAGGTTCCAGCTCTCTCCATTTCCTGACCAGCCACAGTGTGAAAATCAATTCCATAACCCCCACAAGCCACTAGGCCATATCTTCCCCACACTGATGGGCTGAAATCCCTCCAAAACTGTGAGCTGAAACCTGGTTTCCTCTCTTAAATGGCTTCCGTTGGCTACTTTGTCACAGTAATGGGAAGAGCAACTAACACAAGGACAAAAGTCACCATGTCTTTAGACTGGCTATGTGTTAGGTGTGCCAGATTAGATATTGGCTTTGACAGGCTAGGGAGGAGAAGGGAAAAAGAAGTTAATCCTCAGCCCCAACAGACTCCACCTCAAGGTGAACAGGAAACCAGAGTAACAGCGCTCACAGATTGAAGTGAGGCCTAGGAAGCTTTGGGTATTAAACTTGATGCCTGCTCCCTGCAAGCATGTCAGAAGTATAAGCAAACCCTTTAGAAAACACATTTTCATGCTGTACTTCAGAGACTTCTTTATACAATGGCTAGCACATGGCTGACATTAACTGGCTTTGGTGTTGGAAAGTAGCAGAAACAGGCATAGTGGACCACAGGAGCTGAACTTCAGAGAGACTGGATGTTGCAGTTGCCAGACACAGATTAGTAGAAGAGAAAATGGTGTACATTTCATGAGAAAGAGAAAATTGAGTTGGAAAATATTTGCAGAGAACTATAAAAGTAAGCATTCTAGTTTGAACTTGTCCAGATCTTGTGCATGCTGTCACAGTGATGATAAGTTAATATCTGCTTCAGCCCTGTTATATATGGAAAATGCTATTTCCTTGGAGTTGTCCACCACCCCTGGCTCTTACAGTCTTTCAGCCTCCTCTTCCACATAGATCTCTACTCCTTAAGGGAAGGGATGTCATACACCCCAAATAGGGCTGACTGTGCTAAAGTCCCTCATTCTTTGCATGTTGTCCACATGTGATTTTCTGTGTTAATTGCCATCTACTTCAAGAAGAAGCTTCTCTGATGAGGGTACAGTAATGTACTGATCAATGGGTATACCAATCTTTAATTAGAAATTTTATTGCTGTTCATTTGGCAGAATAATTGTAGTAGATTTTCCCCTAGGATCCTTGACATTTCTAACTTAAGGCTCCTGGCCTCATTAAAAGTCAGGGTATGGATTCCATCTCAAGTAGCCAGCAGCCTTAAAACAAAGAAGGGGAAGTGGGCACAAAGTCCTACCCCTAATTAAAAAAAAAGATATTTGCAATTGATAGTTGCTGGGAAAGGAAAAGTCTGTTTTCTTCAATGGAGTGGCACTGGGTAATAGAAATCACATCATAGGTCAGGCTGCATGCTAAGAAATAGTTGGCAACACAAAATGGACTCCAGGCTTTTGTTTGTTTGATTGGTTTGGTTTTAATTGTTATTATTGTTGTTGTGTGTCTTTTTTATGTGTGCTTTATTTTGTTTGGTTTGGTTTTATCTTTTGAGAGAAAAAAAGAATACAAAGTTAGATGGTTAGGGAAGGAGAATCTGGAAGGAGTTGGGGGAGGGCAAAGAATATGACCAAAACATATTGTATTAAAAATTTTTTAAGTAACCAGTGTTAAAAAATAGAACTTCTAGAAATGGAAAATTGTAATAGCCAAAATGACTGGATATGTTGTGTTTAGCAGCACATTAGACACAGTTGGAAAAGCATTCATGGACAAATTGTCCTGTAGGAGGCAGAGAGAATGAGGGACATTAGAAATGCATGGGAATAGGCTAGATTTCAGCACATGCTAGAATGTTCATTTACTCATAGGGTCTGAAGAGAAGTGAAAGAATGAAAGAATGGAGCAGAGAGAGGAGTGCAGTGTGAAGCATGAGCCTCACATGATAGCACGACATGCCACGCCAGAACTGACACAGGTTAAGCAGGGTTAGGAAAAAGAACCCTACACCCTGACATGGCCATGCAACTTTAAAAAGATACAGAAAAACAACTTGAGACTAAGCAGAATTAGGAAAGTAAATTTCTTTTATTGTAATAACAGAGTGATGCGTTTCAAAGAGCCATGGTGCGGATGCCTTCAGAGCAGTGAAAAAAAATTAGGTGCTGGCCTTTCTTTCCACCCCTAGGAAAACAGCTTACGTGATGATAAACAAATCAAAACACAGAGCAGATCCTCACCAAAGAAAAATGATCCCTGAGTGAGGTACGGGTAAGAAGTGAAAAGGAAAGAAGAGGAGGGGGGTAGCTGTTGTTTTCAAGTGGTGACCATAAAAAAGTACTTGTAGGGTAGCGATGTTATTATAAAGTGTGTCTCTGTAAGCAGGTAAAGAGCACACTCCTAGCTTATGACTGTCCCATTGCATTGGCTCTATCAATGGGCATGACCATGGAACTGCTGTCCTGTCTCCTAGTTTGCCATATTCCTGCCCCCAAAGTCATGTCCTTGTAGAGGCGTACTGTCGGAGACAATGGTGGAGCACCAGAACACAGATACCTGGTCCCTTCCCTTCTTTCAGAGATTTCGAATTATTAGGAATTACCCTCTCATAAAATCTAGAACCCTGGCATTTGTTAGATATTTGTGCCACCAATAAATAATGATAATTTCATTAAAAATGAATGACTAAATGTTCTAATTTAACAAAACGAGTTTTTTCAGGGTAACTTTAAAAATTGCAGCTATATTCTATTCGAAAGATTAATCTAAATATAATACACAGAGGATTTGAAAATTGGGGGGGGGGTAACCAAAACTACCAAATTAATAAAAAAGCTACCTGAGAGCCAGGTGTGGTAATATAGGCATGTAATCCCAGGATGTGGTAGGGTGAGGAAAAAGGACCAAGACTTTCAGTTCCTCTTAGGCTACGTAGTGAGTTCCAAGCCATCCTGAGGGGCTGAGGGATAGTACAGTGGATGAGTGCTTCCCCAACACCTTCTAGAGGCTCTGGATTCAAACACCACTACCACCACCAAAGTTTTAAAGAATGTTTATTAGCCAAGCCACCCTGAGTTGAACATATAATGAGACTATATCTAAGAACAAACAAAGCTAGCTAGTACAGCTATGTTAGTATCACGGGAGTCTGGGAAATGGACTTTCAGGTGAAATATGTTACCAAAGAAAAGGTAATTAACATGTTACCATGAAGCATTTGTTTATTAAGGAGAATAAAACTCCCATTTTACAAGCACCAAGAAAATATACCACAAATAAAGTGTAAATTTAATATAACTACAAGGGAAAATAAACAAATCTGCCATCAAAGGATGATTTTGAGGCTGCTGCAAGGCTGCTGCACCATATGCTCTTGTGGTAGCCACAGTGTCTGTAAAACCTAACAGTAGAAGTCAGTATGACCTAATGTTCAGTCAGTGTTGCCAGTGCTTATGTCCACTGTCATTCCTGGGAATGGAATCTCCTCCCTTGGTAATAAGTAAGATGCCTCCATCTATGCCATTAGTTCTCAAGTTTGGCAGTAGGTTAGAGTCACCTGGGAATCAATAAAAAAAATTCTGTTACCCAAGTAAAACAATGACACTGGAATCCCTGAAGGTATATAGACAGTAGTGTTTTGAAAGTGGTCTAAATAATCCCAGTAAGCAGTGTTCTTGTTTCATTCCTGTAGCATAACCATGTCATACTTTAACAAAAAGCTACTTAGAGAACTTCAGCTTACAAGTCCAAGTCACAGACCATCATAGTGGGAGAGCCAAAGCAGCCAGGACTTGAAGTGGTTATTCGAATCACATCCACATTTAAGAACAGAGAGAGATGATTTCGTGCCTTCTCACTTGTTTGCTTGCTTGTGCTCCCCTAGATTTCTCAACTCTTAACATAGTTAAGGATCCCCTCCCTAAAGAATGATGCTGTCCACAGTGAGTTAGGTCTTCCCACATCAATTAAGACAGTCCTTTACAGACATGCCTACAGGCCAACCCATTCTAGGTAATCCCTTCTTGAAACTCTCTTTCCAGAGGAT